CAGTTTCCAGTCCAATTTGAGTATCTGAAAAAAAAACTAATCTCCACTCCAAATGTAAGTAGCTTGTTTGTTTCCTGCTGACTCCCTTCCAGGAAACCTTACTTGTTTTCCTTTCTTCCCTTTTTTTAGGATGTGTTTTTCTCTGATTCTTCTCCTGCTCCTAACCCTTTTTACTTCAACCCACATGAGTTTCTGTTGATACTACTTTTTCTGCGCAACACCTGTGTACTTCTGTAAGGAATGGAGTGAAACTGAACCGAGGTGGTGCCTGGTTTGTTTCCTCTGTGCTTGTCAAGGAAATACTCTGTGCAAGAATACCACAGACGATGCCCCCGACTGCTGTAGCATGGGACCCCACTGTGCGGTAGATTAAAACTTGTAAAATACCTGAGCCAAATGCCAGAAGCAACTCTTAGAATAGTGCATTGAAATATATACATGTATTTATGACAAAGATGGACAAATTTGCTATGGCTTTTTATTGGCATTTTCCTTCAGAGAGCTCTGACAGCAGTAAATTGGATTTGGGGATTATATGCATAATCTTAGCTGGCCAGTGTTGCTTAAGAGATTCTGTAGATAAAATATGTAGTTCACACTTTAGTGTTGCCCTCTGAGGCAGTGTACTCTGAAAATGGGAGTTACTCCTGAGTAGTAATTCCTTTTTGAGTTTTTGTAACTAATAAGCAGCTGCCATCACAATTTTAAATCTCAGTTACCTGGGAAACAAACCAAGGTGTTTCTGTGGTAATGACATTTTGTGATTCTGTCTGCCTGGTAGCTGTGCAGTTCTTGGGTTATGAAACACTCTTGAATTGAGTGGAGGCCTGTAAGTTGGTCATGTTTTCTACTTTATTCAGAGCTTCAAGCTTTGAATGACTTCAAGAATACTAGCTTATTTCCTGAAGGTAAATTTTGTTTAGTTGTAGTGTGTATTCTTTTTCATAATTTGAGATAATCATATAAAGAGTACTGATGAAAATATTCTTATGAATTCATTCATATTATTTTTAAGCAATTAATTTAAAGCTGCAAAGTGATATACTTCCTCAACAGAAGAAAAGTCAATCTTGACTTAGACATAAGGAGAGAGTAGGCCACAGTTAATATTTAAAAAAAAAACAATAGCTTTGCCTTGACAGTTAATGGTTGTTATTTATATATTCATATATATTATATAATATATATATAGCTGCAAGAGTATAGTTGAAATGATCATCTTCTTTTGAACGTCTTTAATTTGTTTTTCTCTTTTAATTCAGGGTTATACTTTTTGACCTGCTAAAATTCAATAATGTAGATATTAAGAATTGTTAACTTGGTGTCTAAGTATAAGTAGAAGTAAAAAAAATCCGTTTCCTTGAAATATTTTTTTCCCAAATGCACATTAATTTGATTTTTGATTTAATCATTTCATGTGTCTAATGTGAGAATGAACTGAGTTCTCAAGAAATAACAGACTAACAGGAAAGGATTCCTCACCCAGTTTTGCTTAGGATCTTAATCCCAACCTGTGATGTTCCTGATGTTGTAACAAAACACATCACTCTGAATCAACAGTACTCTATAAACCTGAGTGCCAGCAGGCACAACCCACTGTTGCTCTTTCTGAAAATCGGCAAATTTCCTAAATAAATTATTCAGTTCAGAGAAATGCCTCATTGTCTTTAATAAGAATAATTATTAAATAGTTTAAACTTATGCACAGTGGTGAATGCTCAGACACAAATTATTGCTTTTTGTAAGTAGAGCAGTCTTCCCCTTCTGCTCCCCAACTCGTTTAACCTCGAGGAAGGAAAAATTTCTGTATGCAAAGCTTCAAGTAATGAATAAAACATAAGTGCTAGTATCTCAGTCATGACTGATATCAGTTAACTGATTATGTATTTACAATAATCACTAATATAAAACTGAGAAGGATCATTTGATTTGCATAATTGATTTTCTTCAGAAGTTAAAGATTTAATTTAAATAATTTGTCCAATTTTTTTTTCTGCATGTCTTACTTAGTTTTTTACTGATGTAGTTTTTTTTTCTTGGTTAGTAAAAACAAAATTTGTTAAGTGGGAGGATACCCCATCTATTTTATAATTATAATGTAACATGCATATTCTGATCCTTAATTTTTATGTTTTTGTTATAGTAGCAAATAATGATACCTTTTTATTGGGTTATTTTTAGGTGATTTGTATTAAGTGCTGTTTGGATTAAAATAAAATAAATAATATATGCAAAATAACATTTTTAATTTATTAGCTAAATAAAATGTTCATATTAACTGGGTACATGTATCTTTTTTCTTACCAAAATATATTTTTCCTATAAGAATATGTTATTAGTTGACTGAGTGATGCTTCTAATTAACATAAATACATTTTATACATCAATACCTATTTTAATTCATTGTTTTGAAGTAGAAGAAAACCAGTTTTTCTTGCTTTTTCAAATCCTGATCATTATCTCAGCTTTGGATGAACAAGTCTTTAAACTTAACTGAATACACTGAAATTAAGATAATGTTTTTCTCAGTATCTGAAGACTAGGCTAACACAGGCAAAACCTGGCTTGGGAATATATAGAACTCCCCTTTCAGGTGTTATACCACTGAAGAGCACAGCAGTTAGACTTTCTTTAAAAATGTAGCAGCAAACATACTACTGTTTTTTTTTATTTTAATCTGTTTATTTTAATGTTATTGAATCCATATATAATTTATAAGCCTTAACATAGGGTGTTATGACTTCAAATTTACTTTTGAATATTTTTCTTTTTAAAAAGGAATATATTTATTTTAAAATCCATGAATAAACCTTTTCTTTTTAAATATATTTTTATCCACCCTGAGATAATCAGTCATGATGATACAAAAACAATGTAGCTGGACTTCTAGTCTTTTAGGGCTCCTATACACATGCTCTGATGTGCTGTATATAATTACAGGACATTGGAGCAGACTTGATTAATTTGAAATGGGATTAATCGGCTCTGCTGGAGTGTGGTAATTACTGCGTTCCGACAGACTCCAGGTTCACATATATCAGTGTCCCTGCAGTGAAAAATGGCAGTTCTTGTTTGTGGGCCGGATCTGGCCCACAGGCTATAGATTGCCAACCCCTGATATAGGGCAGTCGTTGACAACTTCTGTTGCCTCAAAGTTCCCCTTTGTTACCATTTTTAATTTAGTTACATCCTATTTCAAAGTGTATTGCGGTGCATTTTTGACTAAAGGCAACATTATTTTTCTGCTGGCCATAACAAGAAAAGTAACAGAGCAGTTCTCCTGGCCACAATGGGTCAGATGCTGTAGATTCCTATATCAAATCTCTTCAATACAAACACATGTTTAAGTGTTTGCAGGTGTAACTGCTAATGCATAGATAGCATCCATAAAAGAATCTCACAACTCCCTGGTTGAGAATCAGTGATAGAGGGTGTTCTGATTCAGATTAGAGTTTAGGATGGGTTGTTGAAAGGGTCAAGAAATGCATGCCACAAAAATATTCTGTGGTAATATTAACTTTCTAAGTAAAACAATTGTATAAAGAAGCAGAATAACTTGGTAGTCAGCAATAACACTGGATGTCCTAGTCTTTGAGATTCAGCCAGTGTGATTTCACTAGCGTTGGCTGAAATCTACAAGTTAAATGTTTCAATGGTCTTTTTTTTCCTGCTATTACTTGAGCTTTTTAAGTTCAGGGGTGTCAAACGTATGACCTGTGGGCCAGTTTCAGCCTGTGGAGCCCTACAATCTGGCCAGTGGTGCTGCCAATAGTTTAGCTGCTTCCTGTGTGCTGTGTGAAGAGCGTGCACTGGCTCCAGCTCTATGTGCAGCACCTGCCAGACCTGCAATGTGCTGGGCCAGTCCAGGCTGCATACCACATGCCATGTGCAGGGCTGCTCTGTGGGCCCAACCTGGGCTGGATGAGTTTGATACCCCTTCTGTAGTTGAATGTGTGGACATGCTTAATCAAATATTTAAAAAAATACAATCAAAACTTTAAAAGTTGTAGTCAAACAGTGATGCCTTTTTTTTAACATGGGGAATTGTTTCAGGAGATTCCTAAATAGGAATCAGTCTTCCCCATTTCAGTCAGGGTGTTTGTAGACAAAAGAACCCAAATAAAGTGCTTTACTTTAAGTTTGGTGTGTTCCCTCATGAAGCCCCAGGCATGTCCAGAAGAGGCAGTGCATTACTTCAACCCAAATCGCTCAACATCTATAAAGATCGGGCACTTTAGTGGGGCTTTTTTAGCACTTTTATGTAATAGCTGATTGCTGCTGCATCTGGTAAAGCACATTTTTTTAACATCTGCAAGCAGCCTCAGTCACTGAATAAAGGAAGTGCAATCACTGATAAACAGACAGCTATTGCATGATGTGTTTTGCAGTAACTTGTAGATTTTTTTCAGTTATGTTTTATTAGCATCCACAAATTATACTCATAGGAGTGTTTAGCTGCATACTGTGGACCATCTCTCTGTCTATTATTCAACTTCCCTGCGTTAACTGTAATGATTGATTACACAAAAAAATAACATTAGGGAAGTACATGTATAATTGCTTTAATGTTCTGTCTTTTTTTAAAAGTTAATCCTACTTCCTAAATTTATACTGCTTGATTCTCTTTTTTCTTGGTTGAATTCACAGGCAGTGCCAATTCACAAGGGGTTTTTTATGTTTCCTGTCCTTTCTTATATTAAATGTAATGTTTAGTAGAGGCAGCTATGAAGTTTGCTTCTTGTTTGTAGTGTAAAAGCTGGAAATGGAGAGAATGATATGTAGTCACTTAAATGCAGCCCACAGTTTCTATAGTATATTAGAAAACCTATGTAAGCTACCATGCTCCCATACACTTTGTAGAAATTGCCTGGAAAGTGTTCTTTAGCTGTCAGCACTCTTTTTTTTTCTTTTACAGCTAATTCACTAGTTTAAAAAATCAGTTGATTACATATATAGTTAAATTCTATAAATTGACTAAATTGTATTTTTTTCTGTTATAGGAAATGCATAATTTTGAGGAGGAATTAACGTGTTCCATTTGCTATAGTATATTTGAAGACCCACGTGTGCTACCATGCTCCCACACATTTTGCAGAAATTGCCTAGAAAGTGTTCTTCAGTTGTCAAGTAACTTCTCCATATGGAGACCACTGAGGCTTCCACTGAAGTGTCCAAGTTGTAGAAGTATTGTTGAAATTCCTCCTTCTGGTACTGAATCGTTACCTATCAACTTTGCATTGAAGGCTATCATTGAAAAGTATCAGCAAGAAGACCATCCAGATGTTGCTACATGTAGCGAACATTATAGACAGCCATTAAATGTTTATTGTCTTTTAGATAGAAAATTAGTGTGTGGCCATTGTCTTACGATAGGTAAACATCATGGTCATCCCATAGATGACCTTCAGAGTGCCTATATGAAAGAAATAGAGACTCCTGGGAAACTCCTTGAACAATTAACTGATAAACATTGGAGTGATGTGTGTTTGCTAATTGAAAAGTTAGAAGAACAAAAATCTTGGTGTGAAAATATAGTTCAAGATGACAAGAAAGCTGTAGTGCAATATTTTAAGAAACTTAACGAGACATTGGAACATAAAAAGCAAGCTTTGCTAGCCGCTTTGGATGAAGTTAATACTTGTATTATTGAAGAATATGAACCGCTCATTGAGAAGATGAAAGGAATAAGAGAAGAACAGCTTGATTTAATGTCACTGAACACATCTATTAAAGAAGAGTCATCTCCACTTGTTTTTCTTGAGAAGATTGATAATGTGCGCCAACGTGTAAAAGCTTTGAAACAAAAGCAGCTACCAGATACCAAGCCTTTTGAGATTTATCCACGAGTGGGACAGCTGTTGAAGGATGTATGGTGCAAAACTGAAATTGGTCAGATTAACAAGATCCTCACTCCAAAAATAAAACTTGCTTCGAAAGGAAAGGTATGCAAGAAAAACAATGAGAAGGAAAGAGGACAATCTAAGGAATTCCTGCAGTCTGTAAACCCTCTGGTAGTGATGCTAATATCTATAGTAGTAATAATTATGGTTTCATTTAGCAAACCTTTATTGTCAGTTGTTGTAAGTGATGCTACTTCATTTGGTATTTCAGAAGTGTTGCAGTTTGTTTATCAGGATTTAGATCAGATTTTGCAGACATTAATGGAAATACTGTCCCACACATCTCATTTACTGACAGAATTTATAGGAAGAATTATTTCTTTCTGAATTTCAAATCTTAGTTTAATAATTGGAATAACTGTAGGAATATTCATTGTAAATGAACTCTTTCACAAGATTTTTTCATTCAGTTTATATCTAAAAGCTACTGAAACATTCATCCCTTTAAAAAAAAATGACCCTAGGTTAATTTGTAAAAAAATAAGTGCAGTTTAATCAGGTTGTTTTTTTTTCAGAAGGGATATCTATTACCAACCCCCATTTAACAAGGGTATAAATTCATGTACTAAAGAATTAATAATGGACACTAAATCTCTATTTTGGACAAAGCTGAGATGAGTAAATGGAAGTGCCAGTCACTGACCCCAGCATAATGAAATCTTGTATTATGTACTTCATTGCTTTTTACATACAGGGTTGATTGGGCCTACTATTTGTTCATTATCACATGTTAAATGACTAGGGTTTCATCTGGGTTATTAGTGAATCATGTTACTTTGTGTTTTCTTTTATACATAAATACAGAGTCATGGGGACATCCTTTCAATTGGAGATAAATGTGTTGCTCTAGAACTTTTTGGATGATACGTTTTGAAGATACTTGGCAAGAGTATAGTCCTGAAAGGTGTTGAATGTGTGTGACATTATATTGTTCTATTCAGCAAATATTTGCTGCCTTATGAGGTTGGGCCACTTACTTTTTGCTAAATGTTGAGTGGACCCACAATAGCCATTGGGAAACCTCCATTCAAATGAATGGGGGCAGAATTTCAATTCTAGAAAGAACAACATGAAATAAAAATACAGTGTAAATAGTTTCTTAAATTACAAGAATAATTGAGATCTAGTTCAGTCTGAAATAAGTGTTTATGTTCCTACTATATAATCAGATTAATTTAAACCATGGCTTATTCCATTAGTTAAGATGCTAGGAACTCCATATTCACACTTAATAAAGTCAGTAGCAAAACTCCCTGTAGAAACAGGATTTTGCCCTTAGTTGTTTTTTTTTAAACAGGAAGAGTAATCCGTTAACAGTGAAAAAATTCCGTGTAGCACCAGTCCATAGATTGTTGTTGTAAGGCTACCTAAACACATCTGAGTTCCAAGTGATAATTGATGCCTTGTAAAAATTTCATAGTTTTTTCATAATATGCCAATAGGTAGCCTTTAATGACAATTGTAACTGATTTTATTGTAAAACAATCACATGTGGTGTATTATGGCATTGTTTCCAAACTATTGCGTATTTTAAAATAATGTAAACACAATTATTAAACTCTGAGAAACTACTGTTTTCCTCATGACATTTTAAAAGCTCACTGTGAACAGGCAGAAGGCTTCTTTTTCCTCCTTCCTCCTCTCCCCTGCATCTCTGCCAAATGAAAGCTTGTTTTTGCAAGATGCCAAGAGCCTTGAACTTGTATTGACTCCAGTGACAGTTTGAGGGCAGTCAGATCAAGCTCTGAATTTAAGATATTAACGAATTAAGTAATTTAAGACTTAAAATTTTGGGGCCAGTAATCATCACGACCAAGCAAGATTGGATTATTTTCAGTAATTAATGCACTGAAAACAAGACACTGTAATAGGATAACTTAAAGTGACAGCTCTTGTATATGCCATATAACCAAGGGTCTTTATCCCAAATAATTAATTTTAGCACTTAGTATAAAAAAATCACTCTGGCATAGGTCAGCCCAAAATGTAAGATTTAAAAAATAAATTTCCCAGTGTTGACTTGTTTTTTTTAAAGAAATACTATTAGTAGGTCTTTATTCAGAGCTGATGATTCCCTGTTAGACTTTGTAACCTGAACAAAACAACAGTCTGTTAGGAGAGAATTAATTATTTTCATTGACAAGGCTGAATCAAATGGAAGGAGTAAGTAAGTAGCCAGCATAAAAGGAGTCCAGACCAGTTATATGTAGATCTGTGGTTCTAATAGGTTACATTTAAATTAAGGATAGCACCAGGTAGATGCTTTGTGGGCAAGTTGGTATGGTTTTCTTTAGACCACTGCCTATTAAGCACACAGTTTGTATTCAAAGTAGAAAAGTTCCTATAATCTCTCTATATGTTAGAGTTTATATAGGTAACTTCCCTTGACATTAACCACCAGATTTTTTAAAGAGATATTTAAGCTCTTACTGGAATTTTCAGAAACTTCTGAGTGCTTAATTTTCATTAAAACCAATGGGAGTTAGGCAGGTATGACCTTTTCTTTTGAAAATCTTACCGTGCTGCTATCTGCATTATTAAATACCTAAATACTTTTAAAATTTGATACTTAAGTGCATGTCTGTTGGAGTCTTTTTAGGATGTCATTCCTCTTAGAATGTCTTATGTTAGTTTTCTGGCTTTTAAAAAGATCTTTTATAAAAATTTATAATGTAGTTTTATATTACAAATATCCTGAATTTGTACTATTTCACGTACTTGGTATTTTAATAAATCTGTATCTAAATAAAAATACATTCTTATGGGAGAGGGATTCTCCATGTCTCACTACTATTTGTAACTTGTAAATATCTGGCTGGAATGATGCAGTGAAGTCTGACATATGAGTGTGAGTCTCATTGAAGCAAGTACTTTTGAATTGAGGATTGCACAGTGTATCCATCATTCCTTAAACTTTTGTATTCTTTGTATGCTCCCACTTATTTTGCTTAGATGTTTAGTGCATTTATAACTGAGAGAAGAAATGTTGAAGATGCTCCCTGGAGAGTCTTGTCATACTCCAATTGGGTCTGTTGGCTTATATTTTAAGAAGTCTAATTTCTTTTACTGTTTTACTTGATCTTTCTAGATTTAGTAGTGCAGAATTGGTATAACTTCCAAAAATCTTGAGGAAAAGTATTTAGAAAAATAAGATTAATACTTTTTCAATAACGGTATGTCTATTCTGTTGTGTACGCAAGTCCTGACTTAGATGTATTTTTGCCTGTCTATCCTCTAGCATCCATACGCCATCCTCACACAACCCATACCTATGTATCTGTGTCTATGGTGGTATTTCAGTCTCGTTTATTGGGTTCCAAGTTTTTTATGTGGCTTGTTCCTGCCTGGATTTTTAGCGCCTAAAAAGTTTAGCTGGTCTAGGAATATAGCTAATATTGTAGGAACATTTGTCTGTCCCCAGCTGAGCATAAGTGAGTTTTAGACTACTGAAATGTTTAGCTCTGCTTATTCCTTGCTTCTATCCTTCCCAGCCAGTGCCAGAGCTAGGATTTAGTGCAGGTAGATGAGCCATTCTTGTTGTGACAGAACTTTTATTACAGCAGGATAGATATTATATTTTTCAGGTGGTGGAAAGCATTTCAGGAGCTGTTTCTAATCCATGGAAGACAGAAGGACTTGAAAAGGGAGCCTGTGCCAGCGTAAGAATACTTCTCTGTTGCTGCACCAGTGGATTGCTCATATGCAGTTGAAGGACAAGTAGGTGAGCATAGTGGAATCACATTGTCATGAAGATCTGAGGTGATCAACAGTAACTCCAGAACTTCTACCCATTGAAGCATATCTTTAATGAGCTATGCAAGGAGACTGTCCCTGCCCCTCTAGCACTTGGACATTTTTAAATGATGGAGGCTGCACCACTCCGGAAGGAGTGTTATCATGTGAAAGCTATCTATCTCAAATTGGTTCAGGTGTTTGCTAGTGACCAGTCAGATATTTCCAATTCAAATTTTACAACTCAAAAGTTTTCCAGTGGCTGTGTGACAGGAGTAGCATGGAGGTGAAACTGTGTGCACCTATGGTGAAGTGGCACTGGGGACTGTTTTCTTATGACCATTAGGGGACCACGGGCTAAAATACAGTATTTTCTCACAAGCCACATGCCTCCGAATAAGACACACACCTTGGCAGAATGAGTAAAATAAAACTTGTTCAAGAGTCATGGCCAAAAGTTGATCTGTAGAGCAAGGGGGAGAACATACTCTTCAGCTCACTACCCCTCTTAGTCCTGCTTAGGCAAATGCTAGAGCTAACCCTCTCACAGGTGCTGAATCGGCAACAGCTCTTGGCTGCTCAGCCAAAAACTACTTCCAATTTGAGAGTGGCTATCAGAGGGTTAACCCTAGCTCTGGCTGAATAGAGGGCTGTGCCTCTGCTGCTTGTTGTCCCAGAAAGAAGGAAGATGAAGGTAAGGCTTCTATTCCAGCATAGAAAATTAGCTTCCCCGTTTAAGACATGCACCCCAATTTCAGAGAGCTAATTTGGTGTGGGGGATGTGTGTGTGTGTGGTATGTGAGTAAGTACCATAATGCCCAATCCTGATTCTCATTCCCTTGACAATTGGCAAGACAAGTAGCAGAGTCTCCTGTTTTGTTCATCCTTTGCTTTTTTCTTACTCCAGGTGCTTACAAATCCCTGTTATATCTGATAGCAAATTGTCTCCAAGTCTCCACTGTTTCCTCTGTGCTGATTGAAGATCTCCCCAAGTGTCCCGTGTTCTGACTTTGGAATAGCTGAGTTGGAAAGATTTTCCAAGAAAAGAGCATTCTTTCTCCCCCTGATCCCTCAGTACAGAAGAAAAAAAGAAAAATCCTTGCTTTGTTCCATGCCAGCAGGGGGTCAGATATATACAGCCTGTGGAGTCCCTTTTACTATCCTGGACCATCCCCGCATGCAGTGCCCAGGCACCTGTGGCACACACTGGATGTAATTCCAGGCTACACCGCATGCAGTGCCTTGCACAGGAAGGCAGGTGCTACCTCTGCTGGATCAGGAGTAGTGGGGAGGGGGCTCCGTGGGCCTGATTCAGCCTGTGGACTAGTTCCATGCCACTCATTTAGCCTGCAGGGCCAGGTGAGTTTGACACCCCTACCTTAAGACAATCACATACCAACTTACTACGGTTTTCTTTTTCCTTACACTGGCCTGTCCTGCCCTATTCAGAGCTTATCTAGAAATGGAACAGACCTTAGTAAGAATCTCGTATTTAATTCTTTTGAAATGTTTGGGGGATTGGGGTTGGGGAGGGTTGTTTCATATAGTTGGATCAGTTACCAGTTTCGATTTTAACACTCAGGTTGAAGAAGCATATTATTCCATGATTCCCAGAGTGGGAGAAACACCAAATTTTTCAGGCTGTGGGTGGAATTGCATTTATATACCCAGATTTTTAAATCATCTAGTGAGCAAACAACATTTTAAGGAAAGGAGAGGGCTGGGAGAATTGTTGGGGTACTTGGTTGAAAAGCTGTCCTACCCAGAAATCTCATCTGGAGAATTTTTCATGTACCTGACACAGCCCTTAGGACTTGCAGTGCAGTCTGGGAAACTGCTTTAATATCCGTATAATTCATTCTGTTTGCCTGGCAAATTATTTAATCTGTCATTCTATATCATTTAATTTGGAAGTTACAAAGAGAGAAGTATATGCAGTATATTATTTGCTAAGCCTGTTAAAATATTTTGAACTGAAAGGTTAATATACAGTAATCATTGTCTGTGTATTTAACCTGCACTGCCACCCCCCACTTTGAATCGGTATTACATAAGATGAGTGGAGCTGGGAAATGGTAGGGTTAGTTTCGGCTAAGGGTAGAAGCCCTTTCTCATTGAGTTCCTTCCTAACCATGGAACTGTCTAGAGACGAGCACACATGCATGGTTTAACTGCTTCCATGACACCAAGCGGGTAGATTTTACTTATACAGTTTTCCATGTGTTCCCTACTGACCAACATGCATATAAATATATAGATGATGGGTTTAGGGGTGGGTGCTTGAGCACCAACACATAGTAAACAGCAGCCTTCAGTATACAATTACTGTAAGGGTAAGGGCCTACCAAATTCACGGCAGAAGTGGGCTGCGCTGTGGCTCCTTTAATCTTGTAGGTTCCCCCATGTGCCCCTCCACCACTGATTGGTGAAAGGACCGCACTTGCAGCTCATTTCTGATTGGCGGGGAGGTGAAGCCTGCTGTTTTAAATAGGATGCCATTTTTGCCTCCTTCCACTGATTGGCTGAGGGACCCTGGTGGCCCTGATGCTTGTTGCTGACCGCTGGGGAGGCAAAAACCATTCCATGTTTAAAACCATGGCTTTCACTTTCCTGCCAATCGACAGGGGGGAGGGGCACACGGGGGAACATGAAAGGTGGTATGGAATAGGGCTGTACAAAATTTCAGCAGCTGTTTCATTTCGGAGGTGTTTTGGCCCATTTTGGTGACTGAAATGCCAAATCTGAAATGAACTGGAAGACTTTGAAAAATCTCTGAAACAAAACCATCCAAAATATTTCTGAAACATTTTGGAGGCGCCCCTGGGAATAGTATGGCACAGCCCTCCTTTAAAAGTGCCAGGAAGCTGGGGCTGGGTGGGAGATGGGGCTGGGCAGGGCAGCCATCGGGGATTCTCCTGCGGCTCACCCTGCTGAAGCAGAGGCAGGCACGGCCAGAGGAGCCCCATCCCCTGCCTGGCCCAGCCTCCAGACACTTTAAAAACAACAACAAACCCCTGCATTCACCAGCTGCAGCAATAGCAACTGGGGCCTCTGAGGGCTTGTGGCAGAGCCCCCACGTGCAGTAGGGGACAGCAGAAGTTGCCCCCCTCCCCCTCTGCTTGGCATCCTCAAGGCAGCTGTCGCATCGTGTGGGTGCAGCACGGCGCTGCACGCTTTGGCAGCTGGAGCCCGACACCTCTCAGCCCCAGCTCCCAGACAGCGTGCAGTGCCCTGCTGAGCTGTGCTGCACCCGCACAATGCAACAGCTGCTGTGCAGGTGTCAAGCGGGGCGGGGGGGGAAGGGTGATCCCCACTGCCCCATGCTGAAGGGGGGGCTCTGCCACGAGTGCCCAGAGGCTCCACTTGCCACTGCTTTAAAAAAAACAAAATGCACTCACTGGCTGCAGCAGCAGTAATTGGGGCCTCTGAGCACTCATGGCAGAGCCAGTGGGAGCAGCGGGGATTGCGGCAGGTGCCAGCACAGCTTGGCAGAGCGCTGTGTGCTGTCTGGGAGCTGGGGCTGCTGGGGCTGAGTGGTGCCGGACCCTGCCCTACAAAACTCCTGCACTCACTGGCTACAGCAGTGGTGACTGGGGCCTCTGAGGGCTCATGGCAGAGCCCCCCATGCAGTGCGGGGCAGCAGGGATTGCTACTCCCTGCCTGGCACCCACGCGGCAGCTGTCGCATTGCACAGGTGCAGCATGGCTCAGCAGGGAACCACACACTGTCCAGGAGCTGGGGCAGCTCCAGCAGTTAGCTGGAGCCTGGCATTGCTCAGCCCCAGCTCCCAAACAGTGCATGGTGCCCTGCTGAGCCATGCTGCACCTGTGCAATACGACAGCTGCCATGTGGGGGGGGGGGGGCGATTCCCACTATCCCCACTGCGCGGGTGGTGGGGAGCGGGCACTGCCACGAGTCCTCAGAAGTCCCAGTCGCCGCTGCTGCTGGAGCCGGGTGGGGAATGGGGCTGGGCAGGGCTGCCTTAAGGGGGCTTCTCCCATGGCTCCCCCTGCCAGGGCAGAGGCAGGCACAGCCAGG